ACCCCACCGCACACTCCTCTTCCTGCCTGTCCCATCTGGGCGCCAGATGCTCCCTGTGCCGATGCTGGCTTGCCTGCCATCCGTGGCGTCCACTGCCTGTCCCACAGTGTTCACTGCCTGTCCCACAACGCCCTGCCTGTCCCATGGCACACTGGGTCCAGTCCCTGCCCGTCCCATGGCCAGCAGCTGCCCCGCGCAGGGTCTGTGTGCCTGCGTGTATAGCATGCCCCATGCAGCACCTGTGTGCAAGTACAGTGTAGGGTGAGTGCACACGTGTGCCCCACACTGCAGGTGTGTGTGCATGTGCCCCATGCAGTGTGTGTGCAAGTGTGTGTGCACGTGTACGCAAGCGTGTGTGTGAGGGGAGCTGAGCACCCCATATCATGCATGTATGCGCATGTGTGCTCCACACACTGTGTGTGTGCATGTGTGTGTGTGTGTGCTCCATACACTCTGTGTCTGCATGTGTGTGTGCATGTGCTCCATACACTGTGCGTGCGTGTGTGCTCCACACACTGTGTGTGCATGTGCGTGTGTGCTCCATACACTGTGTGTGTGCGTGTGCGCGTGTGCTCCACCCGGTGCCCTGGGTGCATGGGATGAATTTGTTGGGGCCTCCCTCGGAGGGATGCTGGTGTTGGTGGGGGCCAGAGCTCAGGAGCCAGGAAAGGGCAGGGCAGCTCCGGCAGCGCGGTGACGCAGGCAGAGCAGGAGAGCTTGTCCCCAGCACTGGGGACCCGCTGCTGGACCTGCGCACCCGGCCACCCTGCTTGGGCAGACAGCCCTGGTGCAGGCACGGCCTGGGATGATCGTTAAACTGGGCAGGAGCCCCCACGCCAGGACACTCCCGCATCTGCCATCACTGCCTGGCCTGGGGACACCGTGTCCAACCTTCCCGGGGGCACACGTTCCCATCCTCACCCTCCCCTCTCGGCTGTGACCCTGAGGCTGAGCCAGGCAGTGCCACAACACCAGTGGTGGAAGGTCCCATGGCAGCGCTGGTCCCAAATATCCCACGTCCATCAGGATGGGCAGCCCTGGGACTCAGCAGGGGACAAGGCCAGCATCACAAAGGGCCCTGCCCCCCCACTGGGGGCCTCATTCAGCCCCCTACGCCCCAGCGATCAGAGGGGGCACCCCCAATCAGGGCGGTGACAGACGCGCTGCCCCGTGACGCCCTCTCCAAAGGGGACAGAGGGGCGGGTGAGCATCCGCCCCAACCTCTGACCTCCCGAACTGCCACCCTCTGGCCTCCCCACCTAATCCCCCACTGTCACCGTGCCCCCAGACCTGCCCCTGGCAGACACAGGGGTCTCTGGGGATGATGTGGGACTGGAGAAGCCGGTTCGTTAGCCGATGCGCCCTGATGAGCATATATTCCCTCCCGCGTCCCCGCTGCCAATCCCGGCACCAGCATAGCTTCCCCAGCTGGCCAGGAGCCTAATCCCATTTTAATTGCCCAGCGCCGGAGCCAGGAGCCGTCCGGCACCGCAGCCAGGGTGGCCTCCCCGGGGAACATCCCCTCACAGCATCCTGCAGAGCCCCCACTGAGTCCCCGGGACTCACCTCCCCAGCATCATTTGGTAGCCTCAGGCATTAAGGCTTAATTACCCTGTGCCCTCAAGCGATGCCAGTGGCCAGGATCCAGTCAGGCCCTTGGCCAGCAACAAGAGGCGATGCTCAGCTCAGCCCGCGGTGGCAGCGAGCAGCACCACCTGATTACATGTTCTGCAAACCCAAATTCCCCCCATAATGCTAAATTCGGGCTGAATTTACAGCGCCAGTAGCTGCCCAGCAGCTGCTCACACCTTCACCCTTGCTGGCTGCCACCGCTGTCCCCATCTGGCAGGGATGAGTGGTCCCCACCCATCACCCATCGGCATGGAGGCCAGCGCTCATCTCCAAATCAAGGGGGAGATTTTGGGGGTCCCCAATAAACCGAGCATCCCGGGGGGGCTGTTCCTCCTCCCCCAGCCCCCCAAATCCCCCCAACACCCCCAACCATTACCAGGAGACCAGCACAATGAGACGTTACTCAAACACTGCTACCACAGTATCATGCGTTACTACCAGCCACCCTAATGGTGTGTTATGTATGACAGCAACAGTTTGTAGTCATGTGAACATAATTATGAACCCTCTGTTTCCCTCAAACTGGTGGACACAGACCTCATTGTGCCAGCAAGAAGGCAGCAGAGATGCTTAGAGAGGACAAGCACAGATCACCTTGATTTCTGCATTTACAACTGAGAGTCAATGTGTGCTACTGATGGCCAATGTATGAACAGTTTCAAACGTGATTTCCATGAGAAACATTTTCAAAAATTACTACTTACAGAACTGAAGTCCAGTTTTGAATCTCTAGAACTACAGAGGGATTGCCACTTATTTGAGAAATTCCTTACAAGCCTTCTAAACGTGGACTGATGGCTACTGATGCTAACTAGAGAGAGGGTACATAGGCTTGATCAAAAAAGTGAAGGAGTTGTTAAGAATACTAGCACCTGAGCATCATTCCTTTGAAGCTTGACTGGGCAATAAAAGCAGGAGACGACAGTTGTTGTTTTGCTGCTTCTGTGATCAGACACCATGTATTTTCCGTGCCACAACTTCCCAGTCAGACTCGCCGGGTACTCCAGCCCGCACCTCAGAGAGTACTGAACAAGCATTGCTGACAACTGTTCAAAGCTCTTACCATCTTGGAGAAAATACAGTCACCCTGGACAGATCACAGAGGAGGGCAATTTATACTCCCTGTGGTGGTCTGCAGACTCTCATAAACTGGAACAACTTCCCTCCTCCTCCTCCTCACCCTTTCTGCACTTGAGCCCATCTCCTTTACCCATTGCTTAAGTCACGCTACGGCTCTTGAAGAGGCCCTCTCTGCCCACTGCTCATTAACCCTCCCCCTTGCCTGCCAGCTGCTGCCAGGGCATCCCTGTCCCTGCTTTGTGAGGGATGCACCAGTTCTGCAGCCAGTGATGGAGAAAGATGCTCCTTCCAGCTGCGAGGGGCGGAGCACAGGCTTCAGCTGCACCACGCCAGAGTCTCAGGCTTTCACTTCTCTTTCACCTCTCCTCCTCCACCTGTTTCAAGCCCCACCTAGACCTGGGAATTTGGCAGCCCCCTCCATCTACCTGGGACAG